CTGAAGAGTCTCGCCCTTGAAATCCCCCTTAATTATTTGTGTTAGGATTTTCACATCATACATGGGGCACTGTAATGTTGCTTGCTTGTGTGAATACCTTCTGAAGAGATAGGTCTAATGTACAGTTTGCTATTATAATATCCCTTGCTCCTAGAAAGATATAAAAATTATTTGGGATGGGAGTATAGAACACTGCACAAATTAGAAGCCTGCTTCTGTCCTCTTTTCAATCCATTAAAAACAATAGATGCCACTAAAGGCAGAATTTGATTCTAAGTTAGCAAAGTGGGCTTTAGTGGCATTTTAGCTTCCAAAGGGATTCTGATAAGCTGTAAAAATGTAATGAAATGTTTTAAGGCTATTTTTATTTTAAGACTGTGGTTATGATTTATTGCTACTTCTGTTGGCATTTTATCAGATAGCATTGGTTGGGTTTTGACCACAAAGCCTTCCTCTTAAAAGACAAAATAAAACATTTGGGACATGCTTTCTTCCTTGCGTGGGACTGGGGTCCCTCTCTTAATGCTTCTCAGTTTTTGAGCACAGTCTCTATTTACCTACACAGGGATGATGTATCTTTGACTGAAGTAATCTTTAATCTAGAAAATAAAGTTTTAACCAAATCGGACACCAAGAGGTTAGTTGAAAGTGAAAAAAATGACACTATAAATAAGGTGCGTTATAATATGTCTGACAGTTAAATAAAAATGGAGTGCTTTTCTTAAAGATAGAGGTGATAGCTTTTATTAGACCAATTAGATTTTTGCAAAAAAAATTTAATTTTGCAAAAATCTACTTTATCTAATAAAAGATATCGCCTGTACCACGAGTTCTGATTCCATTTTCCTCTAGACCAGTACAACTACAACCTAGATATCTTTCTTAAAGGTATACGTTTCAGATGTATATTAGGCACTATCCAGGAATTGCAAAGTGACATTCTCTAGCACATGAGGTCCAAGTACAAATCATAATAGTCCCTTTCCACTAGAGGTGCACCGATACATTGGTCTGATACTGGATCAGCACCAATATAAAGACAATTGAGTGCATCAGGAATTGGCCTGATGTAGCCGATAAATGGCCTGTGCATGTGAGTAGCCACAGCACAGCATGTAGGCGGCAAGGAGCACAGCCCCACAACTTGGAGAGCTGTATGCAGCTGGTAAGTCTGTTGTGGTGGAAGGGAGGGGGAAGGGAAGGCGGGGACAGATCAAGGCCCCTGTGATGAGGGAGGGGGTGGGGCTGGGGCAGGTGCTGCCTCCCTGTGGCGGTGCAGGTGCGGGACAGAGCCATGGCTTATCTGGGGGGCACAGAGAGGGGTGGGGAGTCCTGCCACTGCACACAGCCTGGGAGAACATGGGGGGGGCCTGTGCTCTGGGTTCGGGTGGGGTGGGGCAGGTTGGGGCTGCACCAGGCTTTTGCTGGCGTGTGGGTGAGGGGGATGGGTTGGGTGGGTGGAGGAGGTGCTGGGAGGAAGGGGTATGGGGGGGTCTATGGAAAATGCTGGGGTGGCTGCAGGCCCCCGGTAGCCCCGCTCCCAGAGCCAGTGCAGCCTAGCCCAGCCCCTGCTGGGAAGAGCCCGGCCCCAGCCCACAGCTGCAGCCCACCCTGCCCTGCCCTGTGCAAATCCAGGGATACTGTCCCCCTGCCCCATGTCCTCCCAGGGTGCATGCAGTGGTGGGAGCCACCCCCACCTACTCCTGCCCTGTCTTGGCTGGGCCGCCCCCCTCCCTCCCTCCCCACCAGGGC